TACACTTGCGGCTCTTGGGTTTGCGCCTTCGACTGCTGACCCGTCACTGTTTCTGCGCACCGACACTTCGCTGCCGCCGTTCTACATCCTTGTGTACGTCGACGACTTGGTCTTTGCCACTGCTGACACTGAGGCTCTCGCCCTGGTGAAGTCGGAGTTGAAAAGAGACACACGTGCACAGACCTGGGTGAGCTGCGTAGCTACCTTGGCTTGCAGATCACCCGGGACAGAGCACGCCGCACCATCACTCTGACTCAGTCACACATGGTGCAGCAGGTCCTTCAGCGCTTCGGCTTCACCTGGTCCTCGCCACAGTCCACTCCTCTGGCTATAGGTCACTCGCTCTCAGCTCCACCTTCGGACGAGTCCGTAGAGCCGAGTGGTCCTTACCCAGAGTTAGTGGGCTGCCTCATGTACCTGATGACCTGCACTCGTCCTGACCTTGCGTACCCTCTTGGTCTTCTGGCTCGCTACGTGGCTCCTGGTCGACACCGAAAGGTGCACTGGGATGCTGCGAAGAGGGTACTGCAGTACGTCGGGCATGGGGCTCGTGCTTGGAGGGCGGAGAGACGTGGTCCTCACTGGGCACTCAGACGCTTCTTGGGTTGACGACCAGGCTACGCAGCGGTCGTCACAGGGTTACACTTTCAGCCTTGGCTCCGGTTCTGTTTCTTGGCGTTCTACTCGCTCGTCTTCTGTTCTCAGCTCCAGTTGTGAGGCTGAGATCTACGCCACTGCCATGGCTGCTCAGGAGTTACGCTGGCTCACTTACCTGCTGACCGACTTGGGAGAGCGGCCTCGTTCTCCTCCAGTGCTGTACGTCGACAACAAGGCCGCCATTGCCTTGTGTGAGGAGCAGAAATTGGAGCACAGAACGAAGCACATCGCTCTGCGTTACTTCCTGGCTCGAGAGTTGCAGCAGCGTGGTCAGCTTCGTCTTGCACACGTGGCCACTCAGGCCAACACTGCTGATATATTCACCAAGGCACTTCCGTCTGGTGACCATCAGCGCTTTTGTACTTTGTTGGGCCTTGTGCCTACGTTTCCACACTTGCTGTAGACTCTGCTTGTACTGTGATCCATATATATATACCTGCATGCTTGCTCTTGCTAGGTAGTGATCACTGTACTGTTCTTGTTGCATATATACCTCTGCATGTGAACTGGCCTTGTGGCCCTTTGCTTGTGCTCAGTGTGTGTGGTGACGTTGTGATCCACCCTGAGCTTGCTTTGCTTTTCTTGACTGGTCTTGTGACCCCTTGCTCTCCCCCACTTTGCCTATGGGGGTGTGTCAAATTATATATGCTGCATATTGTGTAGGCTGTAGTGGGGTAGCCCATATGGGGTACAACCCAATTAGGGTTTACTACTTGTACTCCTGCATGCTGCTAGTTCATTCATTCCTGCCTAGGCTTTCTAACATCTTTTTTTCGGGAGGGTCCTATATCCGGGAGAATACGGTAATACAAAGGCTTTTATAAGATTACCGTCATACCCCGGATATAAGCGCCACCCTCGGATAAGCGCCTGGCGCTTTTAATTGGCGTGTGGCGCTTATATCCGGTGCTCGATTATAAGCGCATACCTAAAAGGCTTACAGATTATAACCGCATACCTGTGCCTTACATTTTGTAACTGCCACCCTGTTTTTTTTTTTTTTTTTTTCTTTTTTTATGTTAGTCATTTTACACAATTAATCCACTAAAACATCATCTTAGCTAATCTACAACTAGTTACGGTAATCTACTCCTACCTACGAGCTTCACACAGGCTTCACCATTTTAGGCACATCTACCCTACTCTAATCATCAGCTGCAGTGGGGTCATCTGGGTCGGCCTCAGAGTCCGACTCAGGTTCCTCTACGTTGTTGCAGAAGAAACCGTCTGCTGCAATTTCATCATCCATGTCGACCTCCTCGCCCTCGAGCTCGTCCCGCCTGTGTTGCAGGCAGAGCTTGTCCTGGGACCCATCCAGGGCGTTGCTGATGCCGCAGGTGAGGAACGCCCGTTGGATGAGCTCCTTGGGCACGGACTTCCAGGCCGCCGAGATCCACTTGAGCGTCAGCTCGACAGGAGGCTTCTTGATGTTGCCTGCCACGCAAATCCAAAAAACCGAGTCAGCACGGATTAAAGAAATAAAAACATAAACAGAAAGGCTGCACCTCTCACCTTTCTTCGTCAAGGTGTCGACCCCCTCACGCTCAAACCACTCCTGGTAGAGCTGGCGAACGGCGGCCTTGAAGGAGCGGTTAACCGCGACGTCGAGGGGTTGAATCTCCGAGGTGCAGCCAGCAGGGATGACCGCAGGGACCAGGTTCAGCTCGCCAAACTTCTTCTTCACCTCCGGGGTGAGGTGCCCGCGGTACGAATCGAGGACGAGCAGAGCTTTGCGGGGGCGGACTCCGAACTTGGGGTTGATGTACGGCTTCACCGCCCCGTCCAGCCACTCGATGACACCGTCCGCGTCCATCCAACCGTTGGGATGGACCCCCACGTGGATATCTGCACAGCAACAAAATCGCGATGTTAGTCGAATTTTTTAACGGACATCAACAGGCCACCGCGTAATCAACGTGTGGTGCATACCTGAAGGGAAATCTCCTTTGGGGACGGTCTTCCTTTTGAAGAAGACCCACGGCTTCAACTTCTCCCCGCTGGCAGTGCAGGCGAGCATCACTGTAACCCGCTCTTTCTGGTAGCCGCCACTGCGGACGGGCACGGAGCGCGAGCCAACCTCTTCAACGGTGCGTTCGGATGGCATCTCGAGCCAGAGGGGCGTCTGGTCCGCGTTTAGAATCCACGGCAGGTCGATCTTGTACTGGCGGCGGGAGTGACGCACGTACGTCCAGAAGTTCTTGACATCAGCCTCGTAGTCTGGGACACGGGATGGGAGAAAAATAAAGCACAAACACAGTGTAAGAGCCGTGAATAGACGTGAACACACAAACAACAATACCACCAAATACCAACTCACTGGACGAGAGCTTCTGGCCGACCCGGGTCTTCGCTCTGGTCGTCAGGTTCCAGCGGCGGCAAAAGCGCTGAGTCCACCGCTGAGAGCCGGCCCACTTTTCACCTGGGTGTAACTCTTTCATCACCTCGTGCGACCACTTCTGCAGTCGTGCGATCGAGACGGCGAGGCACTTCTTGCGGTGGGCGAGAAACATCTGGTACACCTCCGCTTCCATGTCGCGATACCACGAGCTCCTTCCGCGGCCGTGCAGGCGACATCGTGCACCGTGCGCGCCCTCAAGCTCAGCCTTGCGGTTCTTCCACTCCGTGAGGCACCTTCGGGAGATGCCGGATTCGCGAGACATGCGCCGCACACTCATTACTCTGGCTTCGAGCTTCAGAATCCATTGCAGCTTCTCCTGCGAGGTGTACGAATTGCGCTTGTGAGCTGTCGGCTTGTGCCTGGGGGAGGGAGGACGGGCATCACGATTATCGCGAGATGGGTGAGGCCTTTTCTTATTCGGAGGAGGAAAAGAGGGAATTGGAAGGTGCTCGGGGAGACCGTCAGCAGCCCAGAACTCCACGTCGTCTTCGACACCGGTAGCGGATTCGTCCAACGGGCAATCAGCCGGCGCTCCCCACCGTGGCTCCGGTGCGGAGGAAGATCCTTCGCCGCCGCTGCGTTCAGGCTCGGACAGGAAGGCGTCGAACGCCGAGTAGCCAGGGGGGAGGAGAAGCTGCAGAACCCCCTGTCGCGGAACACCCCCAGATGCAGGCGGGACAGGAGGGGACGGAGGAACGGGAGGTGTAGGAGGCGCCGGGGGAGCAGGAGGGGTAGGAGGCATAGGAGGAGTGGGAGGAATGGGAGGCACTACTGGTTGTGATGGAGGGACGGGCGCATGGCGCGTCTGCCATTGAGAGTAGTCACGGGTGTCTCTGCGGGTATTTTCTCGAACAGCAGGTTGGCGGCGGAACAAGAAATGCGTGCCTGGAAGGCCCGCCATGGCCACGGCAGGCCAAACGAACGAAGAAAACTTAACAAAACGTTGAGAATGAGGGCCGTATGAAGCCCTCGCCCGAGACCCCTTCAGTTTCGCGGCCCGGCCTCCTCTGCGGGGAAAGTGTGGCCACAGTCAAGATTCCCCGCAGAGGAGCTGAGCTGGGCAGCTCTTTGCCTCGGTGGCAGGGTATCTTGCTGTTGATGGGCACGCCGTGGCTGAACCACGACGTGCCCACGATCGCATGCAACCCTGATTGGGCCGCTGTGATGCGAGGTACGTGTGCGCTGGCATGGGCCAGGTTCACGTTCGATGAACCTGGCCTGGCCAACAAGGCGTGGAAGGCGTGTTGCCACGCCTTGTTGGCCGTTTCACGCGCATAGCATGCACAGTTCCGAACGTTCTCGATACAGGTGAATCCGCCTTTGAGAGTGCTTCGATTTGGTATATTTAAAAACAAATTTCATTTTTGTCATAACATAAACGCCGGCGCTTATAAATTTACTATATTATAAGCCCACCCCCTAAAAAAAACACGTTTTATTAGTGCCCCCCATGGGGGTATATCCGGGGTATGACGGTACAAGGAATATAAAAGGATGCAACTAACTGTTTTACTGTTGCTGTTGCGGTTCGATACAGTGTCGACTCGGGCAACTGCTCAAAACCGAGTCAGTTGTTTGTCCTTGCTGTCGCGCTGCTTTTCGTCGAGTCAAAGGTCAGCGACCTTACTTTCAGCTGAACTTCCAGCTGTTACTTTCTATCAACCTCCTCGGTTGACTCGCTGTTGCTTCGTTGTAGTTTGCTTTGCTTGCAGCTCGGTGTTCCAACACTTCAGAAGCGTTCAATTAGTTGTTTCCAACATACCGTAGTTCCCCTATCATGCAAGCGGTGCCATGTTGACCAGCAGCTCATGTTTGACATTGTGACTAATGGCAATCCATTCGCTTGACGAACATGACCATCTGTATCTAAAATCTAGATGCTTGCCTTGCCAGATGTGCCATTTGGTTGGCATCTACAACTCAAAAATGGTATTACGCAGCAGAGTCAGCCAATGTTTGCCTTAGCCAGGGACTTGCATGTGATGACACCGCTTGCCACCCGCATTGGTTTGTCCAGTAGTGTAGCAGCGCAATCCTCCGTGGTCTTCAATTGTGGCTGCACAGCTTCCCATATCTTCTTCTTTTGCAGCTGGCGGGGGAACACGATGGCAGCAAAGGGAGAGGGATGCCTCAGTAACGTTACAATCAAAGGCCTCATGGGGAGCCAATGATACTGATTACACTGATTGCAATGATGTGATGACACTGATGGCAATGATGAGATGACACTGACGGCAATAATGAGATGACACCGACAAAGAGCAGAAAGTGAAACACGAGGAGACAACGGCAAACAGTTGGAGGTGGGGGCAAAGAGTGAGCCGATGATGAATGCCATGCAAGGGAAATGGAGCATTCCCAACCCCCATGCTCTACCACTGACAACTACCCCTTCCTACCTCAGCAACCGTTCCATATCTCCGCCTCCTACACACCTGGTTCGGAGTTGCAGCAGCAGCTTGCGAGGCACCATCAGCCTCGGCGCCGAACCAGATGCGCTCGCCCGGCGCAGCTTCGACGGGCGGTGAGAGGAGCTGGACGTTCTCATGGGCGTCGTCGGAGGCTGCGAGCAGCATGCCGTTGGACTTGACGCCCCTCATGTTGCGCGGCTTTAAGTTCGCCAGCACCACCACCAGCCGATCCTGGAGGAGGGAAGGGGTTGGAGGGGAGGGTGGGAGGTAGGGGATGGGATGGGGTGGAAAGAAACGGGTTGGGCGAAGGAGGGGGAGAGAGACGAAGAGGGTTAGCTTGCATTCGGATTTGACACCCCTCGTGGGCACCACCACCACCAGACGATCCTGGAGGGTGGAGGTTTGAATGGGGAGGGGTGGGGTGGAGGAAGGAGGAGAGGGGGAAGGCCGGGATGCGTTGGTGCTTGAACTTGACGGCCCTGGTGTTGAATTTGACGGCCCTGGTGTTGAACTTGACGGCCCTGGTGTTGAACTTGACGGCCCTCGTGTTAAACTTGACGGCCCTCGTGTTGAACTTGACGGCCCTCGTGTTGAACTTGACGGCCCTAGTGTTGAACTTGACGACCCTCGTGTTGAACTTGGCGGCCCTCGTGTTGAACTTGACGGCCCTCGTGTTGAACTTGACGGCCCTCGTGTTGCAAGGCGTCTCATCATGAACCCACCACCAGACAATCCTGAAGCAGGGGAAACAAAGGGAGAGGTGGGGTGGGAAGAGGCGGGGGAAAGAACGGGGAAGACAGGATTGTTTCGTTGTGATGACGCCCCCATGTTGTTTCCCTCGGGGTGTGAAGTATGCATTCGTTGCGTCAAGGCAGGTTCATGTCCTCTGGTTCATCATACCTGTCAGCCAACTGCCATCCCATCACCCGACTGCCATCCCATCACCCGACTGCCATCCCATCACCCGACTGCCATCCCATCACCCGACTGCCATCCCATCACCCGACTGCCATCCCATCACCCGACTGCCATCCCATCACCCGACTGCCATCCCATCACCCGACTGCCATCCCATCACCCGACTGCCATCCCATCACCCGACTGCCATCCCATCCATCACCCGACTGCCATCCCATCACCCGACTGCCATCCCATCACCCGACTGCCATCCCATCACCCGACTGCCATCCCATCACCCGACTGCCATCCCATCACCCGACTGCCATCCCATCACCCGACTGCCATCCCATCACCCGACTGCCATCCCATCACCCGACTGCCATCCCATCACCCGACTGCCATCCCATCACCCGACTGCCATCCCATCACCCGACCCGACTGCCATCTCATCACCCGACTGCCATCTCATCACCCGACTGCCATCCCATCACCCGACTGCCATCCCATCCATCACCCGACTGCCATCCCATCACCCGACTGCCATCCCATCACCCGACTGCCATCCCATCACCCGACTGCCATCCCATCACCCGACTGCCATCCCATCACCCGACTGCCATCCCATCCATCACCCGACTGCCATCCCATCACCCGACTGCCATCCCATCACCCGACTGCCATCCCATCACCCGACTGCCATCCCATCACCCGATTGCCATCCCATCACCCGACTGCCATCCCATCACCCGACTGCCATCCCATCACCCGACTGCCATCCCATCACCCGACTGCAATCCCATCACCCGACTGCCATCCCATCACCCGACTGCCATCCCATCACCCGACTGCCATCCCATCACCCGACTGCCATCCCATCACCCGACTGCCATCCCATCACCCGACCCGACTGCCATCTCATCACCCGACTGCCATCTCATCACCCGACTGCCATCCCATCACCCGACTGCCATCCCATCCATCACCCGACTGCCATCCCATCACCCGACTGCCATCCCATCACCCGACTGCCATCCCATCACCCGATTGCCATCCCATCACCCGACTGCCATCCCATCACCCGACTGCCATCCCATCACCCGACTGCCATCCCATCACCCGACTGCCATCCCATCACCCGACTGCCATCCCATCACCCGACTGCCATCCCATCACCCGACTGCCAACCCATCACCCGACTGCCATCCCATCACCCGACTGCCATCCCATCCATCACCCGACTGCCATCCCATCACCCGACTGCCATCCCATCACCCGACTGCCATCCCATCACCCGACTGCCATCCCATCACCCGACTGCCATCCCATCACCCGACTGCCATCCCATCACCCGACTGCCATCCCATCACCCGACTGCCATCCCATCACCCGACTGCCATCCCATCACCCGACTACCATCCCATCACCCGACTGCCATCCCATCACCCGACTGCCATCCCATCACCCGACTGCCATCCCATCACCCGACTGCCATCCCATCACCCGACTGCCATCCCATCACCCGACTGCCATCCCATCACCCGACTGCCATCCCATCACCCGACTGCCATCCCATCACCCGACTGCCATCCCATCACCCGACTGCCATCCCATCACCCGACTGCCATCCCATCACCCGACTGCCATCCCATCACCCGACTGCCATCCCATCACCCGACTGCCATCCCATCACCCGACCCGACTGCCATCTCATCACCTGACTGCCATCTCATCACCCGACTGCCATCCCATCACCCGACTGCCATCCCATCACCCGACTGCCATCCCATCACCCGACTGCCATCCCATCACCCGACTGCCATCCCATCACCCGATTGCCATCCCATCGCCCGACTGCCATCTCATCACCCGACTGCCATCCCATCAAGATTCAAAAAAACGACCGTTTTTTTGAAAATTTACCGTAAAAAACGGTATCGTAAAAAACGGTCGTAAAAAACGGTTTAAAACGGTTCCAGGAGGTATTCTCTGTTAAACTAACAAAACGGCCACTTAGTGGGACCAAATTGAACTTGAAATGCAGAAGCATGAAGGGGACGGACCCCTTCTTGCATGTATGCGCTTGTTGGCATGATTGAAAATGTTTTTGACCTTGTTTTTCTCCTTTTTTTCTTGGGGAGCAGAGTTCTCTAACAAAAAAACGGCCGTTTTTTTGAAAAATCACCGTAAAAAACGACCGTAAAAAACGGACCGTATTTTACGAAAACCGTAATTTTGAACCTTGCATCCCATCACCCGACTGCCATCCCATCACCCGACTGCCATCCCATCACCTGACTGCCATCCCATCACCTGACTGCCATCCCATCACCCGACTGCCATCCCATCACCCGACTGCCATCCCATCACCCGACTGCCATCCCATCACCCGACTGCCATCCCATCACCCGACTGCCATCCCATCACCCGACTGCCATCCCATCACCCGATTACCATCCCATCCATCACCCGACTGCCATCCCATCACCCGACTGCCATCCCATCACCCGATTGCCATCCCATCCATCACCCGACTGCCATCCCATCACCCGACTGCCATCCCATCACCCGACTGCCATCCCATCACCCGACTGCCATCCCATCACCCGACTGCCATCCCATCACCCGACTGCCATCTCATCACCCGACTGCCATCTCATCACCCGACTGCCATCCCATCACCCGACTGCCATCTCATCACCCGACTGCCATCCCATCACCCGACTGCCATCCCATCACCCGACTGCCATCCCATCACCCGAATGCCATCCCATCACCCGACTGCCATCCCATCACCTGACTGCCATCCCATCACCCGACTGCCATCCCATCACCCGACTGCCATCCCATCACCCGACTGCCATCCCTGTGAGAAAGAAGAATTGTTGCACTGAATAATGAGCCAAAAGGCTCTTTAGTACAAGCAATGAGCAAGAGAGAGATGAGAGGGAAGCTTACCCTATTGGCCAATAAGTTGGCCAATGGGTGAGTTTGCTTGTGGCCCAAGCAACCACAAAATGTGTGTTGGTTGGGATTGGTTGAGGTAAGGACCAATCCCCACCAACCACAAAATGTGGTTGGAGGGTACACTAACCAACCCCCCAATTTATAAGACTGCTACACATCTAAGTCTAGCCTATGCATGTTGTATAAAATATGGAATTACAACAATCCCATCACCCGACTGCCATCCCATCACCCGATTGCCATCTCATCCATCACCCGACTGCCATCCATCACCCGACTGCCATCCCATCACCCGACTGCCATCTCATCACCCGACTGCCATCTCATCACCCGACTGCCATCCCATCACCCGACTGCCATCCCATCACCCGACTGCCATCCTATCGCGAGCCACTCACGCACACGGCCTCATCTGCGCAGCCTCATCTGCCGCCACCCGCCTGCAACGGCCTCGCCCTACACTTCCCTGCACGTCCTCCTCATTCGCACCTGCATGTCCTCTCACCTGCAAGTCGGCCTCGGGAATGTATTTGACGAGGCCGCTGCAGATGGTGCGCGGGCCGCTCTCCTCGCCCACGTCCACCTCCTCCACGTACAGGCTGTCCGCCTCGGGGTGCTTCCACGCCCGCACGATCCGCCCCACGCGCAGCTCCAGGGACTCGGCGAGGGTGCATACATCTGCCCGCGGGGAATGGGGAAAAACGGCAAGGGAGACTTGGGGGAGGGGACATGGGAGGCCCGACTTACAGCCTGTCCGCCTCGAGCGCTTCGACGCCTTGCATGCGCGGCTCTAGGGCCTCCGCCAATGTGCAAACATGTGGGACGAAGTTTTGAGGCAGCAAAACGAGGAACACTCGTGTTATAAGCTGTGTGCCTCGGGTGATTGCACGCGCGCACCACGAGCGTAGCTCGTGGCCATTCCAGTTTCCATGGGAAAATGCCGCAGCATCGCCAGCGGCACGGTGATTAACCTACCAGGAACGGTGGCCGCAGGAGCGGCTGCATCTGAAGCAGCGGGAGCTACAGCAACTGAGCTGTCAGCTGATCCCTCCGCGGCAGCGCTGGCCGACACGATATGCGAGGCCCGCCTGCCTCCATCCTTCGACTTTCGTACCGCGCGCGGAAGCAAGCTGGCGGAGGAGCACTGCGAGGCGGACTGCAGAGATGCGGAGGCGGCAACGCGCGGAAGTCGCGCGGTCAGGGCGGCGCGCAGTGAGGCGCTTGTGACCGCGACGGCCATTTATGAAATGTAGGCGGAAGAGCGACGCGGGTTGATCGGGGCACCAAACGGACGAGCACGGCTGTTAGGTGCTCACTAGTTGCGTTGAGTGTTAGAAGTGGTTTCGCCGCTGCACCGACTTGAAAAGCGTAAAAAACGACAAAGGGACGTCTGGAAGATGCCTTACCTATGGCGGTGGGAAAGAAGAGGCTGGAAATTGAGTTTCTGACGGTGGGAGGAGCTAGGTGAGCGATCGTGAGGAAGAGCTGGTGAAAACGAGGGTTTCAGGAGGAAGAGAAGGGAGAACGTTCTGGACCGCCAGATTTTTTTCCCAACCTTTCTGGAGGCAGTGTTCGGTGGAGTTGAAGAAAGTCGGTTTCACCGACGGTTCAGTTTGAATTACGGTTTTCAACGTCGGTTACTGTTATGAAATTCGGATTCGCGACGAGGCGCGTTACGCGAGGCCCACTTTGAAATTCGGATTTCTGATTGCTTAAAGCCGGGGTGCAGATAACGCTGCGCCAGTTCAAAGTATTATAGCTTGAAAGGCGCGTTACCCAGTATACACTGGAAGTTGAGCAGGCACAGCTTTCTGAAAGCGGGGGAGGGTCGTGCGGAAAAAGTGTCTCGCATCATTATGAGTGGGGGGAAGGCTGGGGAGGGATTGCGGAAAAGCTCCGCACAACTGCATGAAGCGGGGGCCAGGCATCAAACTTGAAACTTGAAACTTGAACTCAAAACTACTCAAACTCCACGAATCTCTCGCGCTAGGCAAGGTTGCTACTAACTTCAAGTGCCTTCCCGTAGGGCTAGTGAGAGCCATTCGCCTCAGATCTATCGTTCTTCTTCGCCTCTACCAGTGCGCTCGATCATCTGCGCTATTTCGTACCTCAAAAACAACACGGCAGTCGTACCCGTAGCGCATTGCGCTCGATAACCTCCGCTGTCGTCGTTCTGGTGTTCCCTCTGCCGTCCCTCCATTTCTCGCGAATCGGCGGTGGCAAGCAGCGACGATGGCGACAACCAGGATTGGGTGCGACGATAGCCAGGGTCAGATCGACGATAAAGAGCAGCGCGGCGATGGTAGCATGCACGGGTGCGACGTCAGCGAGCACCATGGCGACGTTAGCGAGCAGCGGGCGAAGTGACTGTTCCTCGGTAGCGAAGCACCTCACATCCCGCTCTTTCTCGCCCCGTCCCACTGCGCAAGATTCGCATCCGCCAGAGAGCCACGCAGCCCAACGCCGTCAGCCTGTTGTACTTTACAAGCCGCTCCGCCACGTCAGCGTCACACGGAAGCACCGCTAGGAGACCCGACGCCGCGGCACCGACTTCTAGCGCATTTGACAGGACATGTAAGGGGCAATCGGAGGGAAAGGTGGTCCAAAGTTGGCTGGTAACCTCCTCGTCGAGTCGTGCGAGCGTTTCACGGCGCGGCGGAGGGCCTCCACAGGCGGGAGCGGACAGCGCGCGGGGATGGCGGCGGGAGCTGCAGCGGGAATTGCTGCAGGAACGCGGGGAGTGTCGGAGTGGACTGGGGCTGAGGACGCGCGGAATCTGGGGAGGGGATTGCGCTTGCGGCGTGAAACGGCGGAGCATTCCAAGGAAGGGAGGCGCGGCATGTGTGTTGACGTCGCATGGCGAGCGCGGGAGACACTGCTCCAAAATCGCGCCACATGACACGGCATAAGGAACAGGGGAAGGGAGGTGACCGGATGATAGGATAGGCTAAGCGTCGTATCGAGGAGAGTCGCTGGAGGGGGGAGGATGAGAGGAAGCGCAGGCGTTTCCCGCTGCCTGTAACGAGTCCGCGAAGAACGGAAAGCCTATCGCGGGAAGTGGCTCCATGGCGGGAGAGGTAGGGAGGAATGCGCGAAAGTGCGTGTGGTCTGTGGTGGGCGAGTTGAAGTGGAGTGCCTTCTCCTTTCCCCCTGTCCTTCACCCCCTTTTCCCCTGTCCCCCTTCTCCTTTCCCCCTGTCCTTCTCCCCCTTTTCCCCTGTCCTCCTTCTCCATTCCCCCTGTCCTTCTCCCCCTTTTCACCTGTCCCCCTTCTCCTTTCCCCCTGTCCTTCACCCCCTTTTCTGCTGTCCCCCTTCTCCTTTCCCCCTGTCCTTCACCCCCTTTTCCTCTGTCCCCCTTCTCCTTTCCCCCTGTCCTTCTCCCCTTTTTCACCTGTCCCCCTTCTCCTTTCCCCCTGTCCTTCTCCCCCTTTTCACCTGTCCCCCTTCTCCTTTCCCCCTGTCCTTCTCCCCCTTTTCCTCTGTCCCCCTTCTCCTTTCCCCCTGTCCTTCTCCCCCTTTTCTGCTGTCCCCCTTCTCCTTTCCCCCTGTCCTTCTCCCCTTTTTCACCTGTCCCCCTTCTCCTTTCCCCCTGTCCTTCTCCCCCTTTTCACCTGTCCCCCTTCTCCTTTCCCCCTGTCCTTCTCCCGCTTTTCACCTGTCCCCCTTCTCCTTTCCCCCTGTCCTTCTCCCCCTTTTCACCTGTCCCCCTTCTCCTTTCCCCCTGTCCTTCTCCCCCTTTTCACCTGTCCCCCTTCTCCTTTCCCCCTGTCCTTCTCCCCCTTTTCACCTGTCCCCCTTCTCCTTTCCCCCTGTCCTTCACCCCCTTTTCTGCTGTCCCCCTTCTCCTTTCCCCCTGTCCTTCACCCCCTTTTCCCCTGTCCCCCTTCTCCTTTCCCCCTGTCCTTCTCCCCCTTTTCACCTGTCCCCCTTCTCCTTTCCCCCTGTCCTTCTCCCCCTTTTCACCTGTCCCCCTTCTCCTTTCCCCCTCTCCTTCTCCCCCTTTTCCCCTGTCCCCCTTCTCCTTTCCCCCTGTCCTTCACCCCCTTTTCCCCTGTCCGGGTGAGCAGCGGTGCCACGCTGACGGCGCTGTAGGCGCTGGCAGCAGCAGCAGAGCGGATGGGAGAGCAGCACATGGGCGAGCCGGCGGAGGTGAGGGAGGCGGTGCCTGCGGCGGTGGAGTAGATGTCCACGCTGCCCCACAGCACACCCCCCATCCGCCTCTCCCTGCCGCATCACGTGCCCTCACGTGCTGTCTTCCTCGGGGCCTCCCTCGCCACCACCGCCCTGCTCCCGCTGCGCGTCACCTTCCTCAACGACCCAGCGCCCCCATGCCCCGCTTTCAGTTTTGTATGCTATCGCCGTTCCAAGGGACGGATGGTGGTCGCAAAGGCAGACACGTTGGGTATGAAGAGATTCACTTGGCATGCGTCCTCTGACATTTGTATAGTTTTTTGAATAGAGAGAGTTCAATCACAAGTGCCTATCAAATGATGAATAGTTATATGCTTGCATTAAGCATGATGAATTAAATGAAAGCACAACTAAAGTTCCAGGGGACCAAGTAACTCCGCTCATCAATACAGTAAGGAAACAAACAGGCATGAACCTCTCATGCATAATATATCACTGTGGGTACTGCGTCGTAGAGACATATTCTATATGGTAAAAGGTGAAATATGGTATAAAACATGTGTTGCATTTGCATGACATGCCACGGCCATGGCCTAATGCACTAAGAAAGGAACGAAGGGTGATGACTGTGTCATGGCTGAAAGACCTAAGCCAAGGCACAATAATCATCCTAGGTTCGCGGCACATTTATACTCTCCTTGTTCTTCGACGCTCCATCCCATAGTCACATGTCGTAAGCATGTCCCTTTCGCCTTGTCAAAGCTTAGATGTCCCTATGAATTTCATGCCAACGCATGAAGAGTGTAGCTAGGAAAAGAACCTAGGGTGATTATTGTGCCTTGTCTGAAAGGACTAGGCCAAGGCACAATAATCACCCTAGATCCATGACACAATGCTCTTCCATTGATTCGCCGCTTCACCCCATTCTCTCCATGTCATGTCGTGGCCAATCTCCAATGTTTCCCTTCTCCGCTCGTTGCAATGCTCTTCCATTTGCAAAAGAGCCAGTAAACACCACACCATGTCCCTCTTTCAAACCTTGGCTGCACGATGGTGTGTTGGAAGGGTATGTGGGAGGGAGTAGGGATGGATAAGTCAAGTTTGCAAACACACACACACCCCTGCTCCCTTCTCTCTCTCTCCCTCCCTCTCTCTCTCTCTCTCTCTCTCTCTCTCTCTCTCTCTCTCTCTCTCTCTCTCTCTCTCTCTCTCTCTCTCTCTCTCTCTCTCTCTCTCTCTCTCTCTCTCTCTCTCTCTCTCTCTCTCTCTCTCTCTCTCTCTCTCTCTCCTCTCTCTCTCTCTATCTCCTCTTCTCTGTATGTACCGTATCTCTTTTTCACCCACTCTCATATACGTATACACTCTGCACTACTCACGCAAACACATTCATACACGGACACACACAAACACACACACATATAAATACACGCGCACACACACCCTCACACACACTCACACACACAGGCAAACGTATACACACACACACATACCCCCACATGCGCACTTATACAAAGAACCCTTTTGGGGAAATTACATCGTCACCATGACTAAATGTGCATGCATGCGATTTTATCACCAACACCACAAAGAACTAGTCACATACCTATTTCAGAGCCCCTCAAGGCCCCACGCCGGTGTTTGTTGAGTCACCTGCAGGTTACGCATGGTGGGAAAGGTAGATGTCGCGTTGTAACGGTATCATGCGTAGTAAACATATATGGCGCGATGCATAATGTAAACTCTGGATGGGAGAAGCGATAAAACAGTCCACAACCCACCTAGGATGAGTCTCCGAGGACGTCGGCTTGTTCTTGGGCGCTTAGAAGGAGTGCATGGGCTGGATGAGATGGCGTGTCGAGATGGTGCCGATTGTGGAGTGGTCGGAGCTACAGTCGGAGGCGCCGCCGCGGCTGCATTCTCATGGGCAGCCTCCTCTCCATCACCATCCAAGCAATTCCATCCCTTCATTATCTCATCCACCCAGTCCCACTTCATAGGCCCAAGGATGCGATCCCTTTTTCCACGCTGGATGCGTGTAGCACGCCTCAGACGAACCTTGGTGGCTATCACCTCCCGGTCCTGCGAGTTGTTCCAGTGTAGTACTATCAACCCAATGCGTGGCCTCATGCTTCCATGAAAGCGAATCCTTTTTGGAGCGTACTTGCAAATCAAAGAGTGGAGCGACTCGTTCATCCAGTTGCTAGCCCCCAGCACGTACGGCTTCATCTGTTCTGGACCACAATTTGCAGCCAGCCACTCTTTGAAGGCCAGATGAGTCTTTGAACCACGCTCATAGATCGCGCTTTCCGGCCCCCATCCATCAGAAACACACCTAGGGACAACTCCCATCCGCATGCAGCGCGAGTGATCCCCTGCCCACTGATCCGCAGCTAATCCAATCTCCTCGGCCACGTCCACTGCACTCATAGGGTGGCCATCTCGCGCTTTTGCAGCACACCTAGCCATTACATGGTGAAAATGGACGCAAAATCTTTGCGGAACCGTCACCGCACGGGCTGGTGCATCCACTTCATCGTCCTGGCCACCCTCATCATCGTCAACGGCCGCTGCCTTCCGCTTACGTGAAACGCGGTTCACCCATCTTGGCTTAAGCGGGGCTGCTTGGGGGGGGATTTCACCTGTGTCTTCCCTTGCAGTCATTTGCGTCATGCTAATCTCAATTTCGGCCATGGTCGTCCCTGACAATGGAGTGGGATGAAAAAACAATGCGTAGCAAATGAGAAAACGGTGTTGTAGTCATCAACAAGGTGGCATAGGTCAACATGCATTGATGCGCGCAAATATGCCATGGCACATGGGGGCAAGATGGCATAGGCTAGCATGTCTTATTGCTGTACATGTCGTGGTGAAGTGTGTGAATATAGCATTGGCATAGGCCGACAAGCACGCATGATAGCCTATGCCATAGTGAAGAGATGTCATGGCACATGCCAGCAGGCCTATGCCAGGGCACGATGAGGCTATATGGCATATCCTACCATGTGTTATTGCAACCTATGGCATGGCATAGGCCAGCCGGCACTAGTGCAAGATGCACAGAGGCTTCATGGCATAGGCACTTGTGGCGCACAAGTGACCTATGCCATGGTGAAGCATTTTTATTAGCTTAAATCAACCGGCAAGTGGAAGTGGAAGTACAAGCTCAAACTACAAACTTTCGCTTACACATACCCGTATCCATGTC